TTATCAAAATGGCTGGAGAGCAGTGTTAATATTTGTATGGATTAAACATGTACATATTTTGTTAGGAAAAAAAGGACAGGATAGGATAGAATAAACAGGGAGTTTTGTTTCTTATGTGTTTTGTATATTTTGATGAAATGACCTTAAAGTACTTAACATTAAGTTCCTTTTTTCGGTTTGAGATTTGTTTTGTTCTGGAAACATTTTTTGGACCAACACTGGAAGCAGTTGTTCTAAAATCCAGTGGATTTCTACTTGCATTTTGTTTAGATTTAAATATCTGGAGTCCTGTAAAAAAAAAAAAGAAAAAAAAAAGTAAAAATCCCCATGAAATGTACTTTTTGCAGATAATTCTCAAATAAATATTTGAGAAGCACAAGCTAATTTATTTTGTATGTCCTTCATTTGTACTTTTGATGATTTATATTCATTTTTTCAAGTGGATTAAATAAGCATGGAGATATTCATTAGTGTTGTGTTCTATGGACCAAATATCTCTGAAGGTTGTGAGAAAAATCCATTTGTATTTTCTGCTGTAACTTATTTGTCTACAAAAAGAACTAAACTGAGCCAAACTTCAATCATACTTGAACGAGTTTGTTCTCTAGCAGTCTTCGGGTGGTAATTGTTTCTCAGTGGGACTAAGCTATTTTCAGCATTTATAGGTTAGTTTGTGATTTTATTGACGTCCGAATCCAGGGGCCAGTTGCATAAACATAAACATTAGGCCTATGTTAAGAACCACCCACTACTAGCAGTTGTCAAGGGGCAGTCAATCTTACTTTTCGGCATTATGCCATATTGCAATCTACGTTTTTGTGTACAAAAAAAGTTAACCAGTCTTAAAGAAAAAATATTGATGACTTAAGCCCTATTCGGACTGTAATTGTTTCTCTTGGACGTCCGTAGAAATACATTTGCATGGCACACTGATATAAACTCGGATTGGCAATTTATTCGCGACGGATGAGCGTGTTGTTCTTCTGTGATCCTATACGAACCCGGGAACGCGCAGCTCACGATTTATTCACGTTCTTCTGTGAACATACGAACGGGGGAACACGCGCTCACGCATGATTGTATTGTATGCTGTAAATAAAATGTCATATGCTTGAAGTAACAAGAATAAGACAGAAAACCACTGTAACTTTATTATTTCAAGCATACATTTTATTTACAGCATACAATACAATCATGCGTGAGCGCGCGTTCCCCGTTCGTATGATCACAGAAGAACGTGAATAGCCTATGCCTAAATCATTTTATCACAGGTGCCATGCAAATTTCTTTCTTTTTTTCTTTTTTTTTAGACGTCCACAAGATAAACAATTACCATCCTAATATGGCTTATGAATCAACGTGTCAGATCCAGTTCTGTCTGGGCATTATACAGATAATAACACTGTTATGGTTGCAAGCACTTCCATCAGAAACCACTTTTGAAAAACTGTGGCCAGTCGGTGGGAAAACTCCTTTAACCACTCATTTCTGTTTGCATTGGCTTTGTAATGTCGGTACAGTTTTCATGGCATATTGTGGATGAGAGATTCCTTTCCTGTGGCTGCCTGTCTCATGACTTCCTGTGAAACAGTTGTGTGGTCTCCTTCCTGTGGCCACCTTTGAGACTTCTCATCAATACAAGTGTTCTCTGATGCAGAAAGGCCTTATTTGTACCGTCAGATTTACACTAAACATCTCAGACTCATTTTTCTAGCTTTGTACTTTTGTCTTTTGGAATTTTTGATGTACATTTTTACATTGATTTTGTATTGTTTTTCTTTACCATTTTCAATAAATACAAGAATTACGAAAGTGTTTTGATGGTTTTTTTTACAGACATCCTCAAACTCATTTTGCAAGGATTTGACACATACACCAGTTTTCAAAAACTAGTCATAATGGCTGTTCAAAGGTCTTGTCAGTGAAGCTAATTCAATTATATTAGAATATTTTTGCAAATATACTGTATATCCTACAATTTTTTTTTTTACAGTTTTATTAAAGACAATATTAATTCAACTTAAACAAAACCTAGTTAAAAAAAAACATTTAAAAAAATTAAGTTCAGCTATATGTTTCATTTCCCCTCTCACAACAAAGTAAAATAAACATTGAATTTAGAAGTATATGATCCTGTACATCAATAACGATAATTTAAATGGCTTTGCATACAACCATCAAATCAAAACAAATACACACGTCTATATATATTATATACAAATACATGTGGTACAATATGCATATTTTTTTAGGCCAGGGCTAAAATGCTACACTTAGTTTAGTACACTGTAAAAAAATTCTAACCTCCCAACTCAAAATTTTCTAGTGAGTGGTCACATCTAAATTTTTCAAGTGGCCCAAGTAAAATTCTGCTAATTTAATTGTATCACTTTGCAGAATTTCACTTGGGCCAATTGAAAAATTTAGATGTGACCACTCACTAGAAAATTTTGAGTTGGGAGGTTAGAAATTTGTACAGTGTATAATATTCAAAAGGGGGTCTCGGCTCCTTCTCTGTCTCTTGTTTTATTAAGGGATCATCTGCCTGCATTACATAAACAGAACAAACCTTTTCTTATGCATGTTTCGTGTAGGACTGCTTGACTGTACTCATGTTGAGAAAACCACGAGTCTTATCTGAACAAGATGTGATAGATTGGGATCCTCTGATTTGTGTGCCCAGAACATTTCCCATGCAGGCTCATTCAGGCTTCACCAGTGTTCCTAAAAGGGTTGTTGATCATTTGAGACTGTTCTTTATCCTGTCACATGGTTATGCATTTTATAGCTGGGAGCAACACATCTGTTCTGAAGTTAGAACGTCTCGCCTTGGGCTCCTTCATGATAAGAGGAAGGTTGCTTAATTAAAATGATGAGCTTAACGCAGAGTCCGTATTAATCCTGCTCTCTCCTCAGCTGGAGAAAGAGCTGTGGATCTTAATCGTTTAGGGTCTCTTTACAGCTGCGGCTGCTGTTTCATTTCTCACTGTACTGGCACTGGCAGCGATGTGAAGTACCGGTACTTAAGGAATTGGACTGCATTACTGAACACTTCATTATCTTGGTGAAAGTGTACTGGAGCACCATTTAAAATTAATACTTGTACTCTCAATGACATTTCCAAGAAAAAGAAAATACTGTTTACATTCGTTTAAAACAACCAATGAAATCCATTTGAATATAAATTGTAATTGTCCATAATAGTAATTTGCCTTGTGAAAAAACATTTTGTTAGTCATCAGATTGTCTTTGACCTTAAGTGATGCAATTTAATTGTAACTACTGCTGAAGATGGACCAACTGGATTCAAGTGGCAAATGGACAATGATCTGTCGATAAACAACAATACACCATTAATATAAAATCAGCTGCTGACACTTTCTGGTAACCGGTGTAAGGATATTGGTTTCAGTTTAATGCTTGAGCCTTATATTAGGACTTTAAGAAAATGTTGACTACACAGGTTGCTTTACAAAGTCATTTTAGCAACAGGTCTTTTCTTCAGAATTGTGAAGTACATTTGAGTGAAATAGATTATAATGGATGGAGGCAGATATGAACGTGAGCTTGAGGTCGACTGTAAGAAAGACTAAAAGATTGGAGAAGTCCAGTATATGTCACCAGAGAGAAGTCTGTCACTTCACTGCAAGATTGAGTTAAAAAAATGATTAAAAAAAATTGATCAAAAAGGTAAACATATGCACTGATGAATAATTCACAATAGGATAAATAACATGTATTCAGAAATTCTTTTTATTTTTATTTCATGCTGACTTTAATAAAAAAATTTTTTTTTAATTGTTTAATAAAGTTTTTTTGCCTACTTGTATTTAAATCAAAATTTTGACATAATACCCAGACTTTACATTGAAAACATGCACATAACTGTGGGGTGAACATGTTGGTAGAGACATCCTGTCTGTTGTAGGAGTTTTGGCTCTCGGTGATCTTTAACAGCTGTTTTGTTATTATTAGCACAGTACAGTTAAAAATCTTTTCCATGCTAATTTAAAACTGCAATGATAAGAATCTTCAAAAAGTTTGGCCTATTAGTGGTACCCAGTAACCCATGTTTCCACTGTCAATGCATTCCCTGAACCTAATAAAGAAAGGTTACGAGACTTGCTGCCATTCCCACTCAACACCTGCTCAACCAGTCTGACCAGTCTCCTCATCTGATTCACAATGACTCACCCATGCTGTTATCATTAAAGGCTCACGTTTATTTTCCATTTAAAGCCTGAAGTCCTGATTTTGCATGTCTGCAGCACAGTCGCAACATCATGTGTGACAAAACAAATGTGACACATTTAGTACTGTTTGTTCCATTACATGAGGCTGTAGTTTCCTTAAGCATAAGGATGGACTATCAATCATATCGAAAGTTACATTACGTTCTTTTGCATTCCTCTTTGCCTATAACTGGACGGGCAGGATAATTTCCTTCTATGAAATCATAAAAATCAAAACATATGAGTGTCTACTTGCCTCAGGGTTATAAACCCTGCAGTACCAGTCCAGTAAATGACAAACCTGGGCTGAGCTAATAAAAGAACTTCATGTTAAGCACGTCACCCAAAAAAACCTACACCTGATAAGATACGTCAAAATACGCCTCAGGCTTTCACCACACAAGCGTCAAAAAAAAAATCACTCAGCCTCATTTCAGAATGTGATTGGGATGATTTGTGTCGTTTAATTTTCTGAAATAAATGGCTCAAGGGAGCATTAGACATTTCTGCATTCATTTCAAATTCCCTTTAAAGTTGTTTGCTTCATTTTTGTGCAATTTAGCATTGAAAAGAGACCATGGGCAAATTATTGAAATCGATGACTGGATAAGCACAAAACAATCCAAATCATGTTTATTTCCATTGGCCTTTTATTTATTTTTAATACAAAACGTAGAAATCACATAACCCTGCTGAAAAACGTGTGCATGAATATTTAAGAGCGTGTGGACAAAATGTTCTTGTTGCTCTTGGCATCAGTCGGTGTGTGGCATACTGCTACGCAAAGGTACCGTCCAAAAGACAGATTTCGATGCCTGCGGCCGCTGGCAGACGATGAAGTCCATGGTGTTTGGAGAGCACATATGCATCGCCACACATCTCTCCGTGTTCTCCAGGGGCCACTTATTTGGATCCGAAGTAGTCGACCACTCCGCTGCCCTTCAGGCCGTCGAAGAAGAAAAAGTTCCTGTGCGGAGCATCTCTCTGAGACAGCGCCTGTCAAACACATACAAACAAATCTCCTTCAGACACAGACGCCACAGGCCTACAATTCTGTAATTAAGTGCTTTGATCGAATGCGTCGGACACATTCTCTGTTGTGGCGATGAAGACTGATGGTAAGGGGCAGCGAGGAAGAGAGAGCCATATGCGAATTGCAGCCTGTTTCATCATGCAGGGAGATGGCGAGACAGCCTGGCTTCACTCCACCGCCATGTGGGTTCAAGGCCTGCCCAGCCACTGCGTTCACTCCATCACGCCACACAGCCCTTATCCCCACCCTCTCAAAGACCCCACCGCATCCCGGCCTGGGCTATGACATCACCCTCTAAGAGAAATATTGGCGTTTATCATTTACTGTATTCCGTTGTTTGTAACTGGAATGGGTTTGTGTTTTTACATGGCCTACGCAACAGGAGATCCTCTTTATGTCCATAATCCAGGTGTAATTATCCACTCTAGACTGACTGATTACATCACTACGCTTGGTCTTATTTAATCTCGTTCAGTTTATGGAGTCATACGAGAAGATTTCAGCAGCTCTCCGCTGGATTTCATCAGTGACCGGAATATTACCTCGTCATTTCTGGCATTTACACACTGTCAACAGATAAAACTTTTGGATTTAGCCCAGATTCTGATGGAGAGGGCAGCTGCCATACGCTTCTAACTGTGCCTCATCAGAAAAGTCACTTTCGCAGCTAGTGAAAGCGGATGGTTTTGTGGAGAACCAGATTGAACGGTAATATGGAGGAAGAAAAAGCAAAGTGTGTTCATTTTATGTATACATGGAACAATAAAAGTTACAGTAAACAAATCTACAATCAAGACTTTAGGCAAGTATAAGGCCTGGGGATACTAGCATGGGGTCCTACCCAGATTGCTCTGGCCAATGCTCATTTATGAGGTACCCATCTCTACTGTGGAAAGGAAGATGAACAACAATTTGAGGAGATGGTTGGGTGGGCGTTCCGCTCCATAGGCCTGTATAGCACAGACAGCAAGCTGCCAGTAACATCAGTGGTGGAGGAGTATAAGGTAACAAAAACACGGCAGGCTATGATGCTGCGAGATAGTAAAGACGCAAGGGTACGTCAGGCAGACATTGAGTTTAGAACTGGTCACAAGTGGTTAGCTGGCAGAACATTGAGGGAGGCAGAGGAGCGCCTGCATCATGCTGACATCGTCAGGTTTAAATGTGATGAAACATCGTCCTCGTGCCCATTTGATAACCCACAGAATCCCTAAACTCAACCAAGCTGGAAGAAATGTCTTGAGAGGAAGAGGGGATAGCGATGTAAATGGCTCACAGATGGTGCAGTGGGAGTACCTGTAATGGTACGTATTTTGCATAGATCAAAATCTCACCTTGACAATCTCTTGTCCAAGAACACCGCCGACTACAGCGCTCACTGGGGCCATCTCAGAGAAACAGTAACTGTGAGGAGAAAACACAAGCCGGGAGTTGTAGTTAACTTGGAGAGAAAAACACAAAGTACAATTCAGTTTTTATGCGTAGCTTAGTATATCCGAACAGCTGAACGCATATACTCTATTTGATATCGTGCGTGAACACAGGCGCTCGACACATGCACCGTAGAAAGTTTCATCCTTGTCCATTGTCTGTGTTATTTCTCTCCATAAGTTATAATTGATAAAAATGTCTTCTACTCATTTAAACTAAAGTTGCGTGACTCCGCAAGCGCTCATCAACACAGGATCTTTTGTTACTTTGTTGTTGTTCTGTCTAATCCGTTTCTTTTTTGATAGTGAAACAACAGGCCAGGCCAGTGTTGTCACCTTGTTGGAACAACTAATTTGTGTTAAAATCAAAGCTAATGTGTAACCTGAGTGTACAGTTTTTGCGGTTGGAAAAATCACCCTGTGCATGTGCAATACACGCGTACTGCGATGTAACAAAATTGTCACACACAGAATGTCGGAATTCATATAATTACAAGATTCTGACTTGTAAAAAGCGTTCATGTCCTCGTAGAACTCATAATACGCTGATTTCACGCAGCCGCCATTTTGAAATGGCTCCGGTGGGAAGAAAACCGGAAGTGTCGCTTTTAATCATAGGAGAGTCGCGAATGCGATGGCGTATTGTTGTGTTTAATGTAGAAATTAGTTATTCTAAAAATGTACATACATTTCTTTCATACTTTAGACTATATACAGTGAAATTCATTTATAAATAAAACATTTTTTTTATATATAATTCAGAACGGAAAAAAAAGAAGCAGGAACGAACTATATACATACCCTATATTGGATATTAACATCCAATAGTGTAAATCGCGGCAGCAGCTTCAGGTTGGTAGTCCAAGCATTGTTGTCTATCTGTACTTCCGGGGTTCTTCCCACCGGAGCCTCGCTTTCGATTTCAAAATGGCGGCAGCGTGAAATCAGCGTATTATAACATCTAAACTTTGTAAATTCTCTGAGAGCTCCGACTTGTACCTTGTGAACGTTGTACCACAAGACCGTGGCAGATTTATTTTGCCGTCAACTTTTTTATTTCTGCAGTCAACTGCTCTTGAGTGTTCACGCCGTTCCGATATGGCAGATGGCTTACATATAGCAGAACATAGAAACAGCTGCTAATGAGGTATCTATGTATATGTGTCTATGGTGAATGCAGCATGTATACCCTAGTGTAGATTTGCACATCCTTGGTTGGTAGGAAAAAAAGATGTTGGAGAAACTTAATGTGAACACCAAGTTTCTGGGTCAGTAAATACCTGACAAAGGTGTTGGGGAGCAGCTCAGAGCTCAGGCCCATGGTCTCGAGAACATCATCGCGGATTTGCAAGAGCAGGTGAGAGTCCTCACCAAAGCTGTCTGGTTGAGGATCACGACCTTTATCTGTGCGGAACTTCAGAAGCACTGTTGGAGGAAGTAAGAGAAACTGAGTGGGGAAAGAGTGGGTTTTCCACATTAAAAGAGGACATGGGTAGAGGAAAGACATGTTTGAAGATTTGTGCAGCATGTGAAAAGGCATTGAGCCCCTTTAGGCTATTTTCCAAAGTATCACTTCCCCTTTTTGACTGCCCACCAACTACAACACAAAGAACCTCAGCCCACTGCATTTCCACCTGGCAGCGAAGCACACACACATACATCAAAGAAACACACACCCACTCATTCATGTTATCTCACTCTATCTGGCACATATATACAATTTCAAGTTTCATAGCTGAATTACTTTATAGAATTTTCTCCAGATTGTGAAAACATCTGAGGGTTTGGAAAAAAAAATCATTGATGTAATAGTCGCACCACTGGGGTGATAAAACCTCAAATAAATCAGTGAGTTAAGACAGAGGAAACGGCTCTTCCTCAAAAGCTGTTTGAACTGATGTGTGGTATTTTTGAGCACAGAAATGTATTTAAAGTCTTGCTTCAGTGCACAAATAGGAAGTGTTATTTTTTCCATAAATGTAATACTAGATGTACTAGAGGGAGGGGCGGAGGTGCAGTCAGAGTCTGTTATAATGATAGAGAGGTGCGGAGGTGGCATGTTTTGTTTTTGAGAGCCACTGCACATGACTGGCCATGGACAGCCTGTGATGGAAAATGAGCCAGTCTCAGTGAGGACACCAGGTGAGCACTAGTATAAAAAGAAAATTGTTGACTATAATTACACAGATCAACAGGCCCTCCCCCTGATAACGGTGTACAACAGACTGCAGGAAGAAACTGCAATGTGTTCAGTCGCCTAAACTAACTGAACCACTTAAGGCCCTGTTTGCACCTGGTATCCATCTCATGTGATATGATCACAAGTGGTCAACAAAGCAATACAATACAATACAATACAATATAATATAATATAGAGCTCCAAATCATCATATTAGAATGATTTCTGAAGGATCATGTGACACTGAAGACTGGAGTAATGATGATGAAAATTTAGCTTTGCCATCACAGGAATACATTACATTTTAAAATATATTAAAATAGAAAACACTTATTTTTAAATTATAATATTTCACAATATTATTGTTATTTTGATCGAATAAATGCAGCATTGATGAGGATGATGAGCACTTCTCTCAAAAATCTTCCTGGCCCCAAACCTTTGAACAGTAATGTATATTTATGGGTTTTTCCAAATCGTTTCTATCCTACAGTTGTCTACAGACAGACATAACCGACAGAGTATAAAACAAATTTTTTGAGTCTGGAATATTCTACAGACAATAAACCTGAAGATCAATTACCGGTAGTAGATTCCACAATTTAGGAAGGAAACACCTATTTTCCCATTCTTTTTATCAGGTTAATTGAATTTTGAATATTTAAATAATCTGAAGGTGTACCTTGCAGAAGAAAGTAGTCTGTAGGAATGCGCTTTAGGTTGCTTTTGGCTTTCTCATTTGTCCAGTCAACCTCCAGGGCTTCTTTGAGAGAGCAGAAACTGGCAGTCTACATAAAGAGTTAAAGCATTAATTTAACTTTGAAAGGATGTGAGTGAAAACCGAAAAAATATAGTTTACAGACATCAAATCTACCAACACACCAACCTTTTTCACCATTGTAGTCTCATTGGGGTCGACCTTCGGTTTCTTTGCCTCAGGACCATCATTGGCCTCATTAGACCCTTTCACCACTTTGGGCTTTTCTCTGGCAAGTTTGAATAGGAACAAGTTTGAATTTTTTTTTATTTTCACACACAAACACAAACACTTTTCATATACGTTTCCTGACTTACTCTACATAGTGATGCTCCTGGCCGAGGTCGGAGAACATGTATCCATGGTAGCCAAACACGTCTCCACAGAAGACCTTAATGTTCCTGGAGGCACACAGCTGGTCCACTCGCACCATGAGGTCTTTGGAGCACCTGGTCAGACAAATCTAAACAAAACAACATGCATTAATATGTGGTTGTTTTCAAACCAGTGACCTTGATGCATCCTTAAAACGCATCTTGCTAACAGAAATTGGAGGAACAAAAGTTTGGCAATGACCGACAACTGACCAGAACATTAGCACTCTTATCCAAGGTCCCAAACCTCTCACACCCCGCATTTTGGGTTTAAGATAAGAATGGGGTGGCGTATTAATACCCATCTGATATACCAATGGCATGTGCCACAATGCGTTAACTGGCTGTATTTTGAAGGACAGCTGAATCATCACTTTATCTGCTGAATTGGGTTTGTTTACTTCCCTTGTCAGGACACCATCTGTGACTTCATAACTTAATGTACACCTGAAATGAACTGATTATCTAAGCAGGCCTTTTTGAAAAGATGTCCAAAGGTTACACAATCCACACCTGGATATCAACAACACTTCTCAGAAATACTGTTGCAATGAAGTAGTGCCCTTAGGAGTAACACCTTCACTACTATTCAAGTTCATCTGGGACATTATGAAACATGTGGTGAGACATTGTCTTTTGACACATTCTTCCTGTGAGCATTATGTGCCTCAAGGCAGGCAGACGACTCCAAATAACACATCTTTATCAAGCAGTGACCTCTAGAGGATGCAAAGAAGAAACAAATCATGCCACAGTGGATGGAATATCAATCAGAGCTACCAGCATCTACCATATGCCTCCGCTAAATAGCTGTAACTTGGCATTACATGAGGTCAAATCTTTAATTCAGTTTAAGTTTTTGGCTTTAGTCGTCCACTACCTTCAGTCCTTCAAACCGTACACCCCAGCCAGGCCACTTTGAACAACTTCTTATGTAAACCTAGCCTACTAAAAAAAAAAAAAAATAACAAAAACACAATAAAAGTATCATAAAAGTGGTCTATATGACTATATTCTATGATGGCTTTGTGTGAGGAACGGACTGAAATCTACGTTTTATGGACAACTTCTATGCACTTTTGCATTATTATTGAAGCTATAAAAGGTCATGTGACTATAAATGTAATTATGGAAAAGGATGAACAGTACATTATTTTCTCCTTGTGTGTTCTACAGAAGAAAGTAAGTCATGCAGGTTTGGAACAACATGAGAGTGAGTAAATGATGACAGAATTATTATCTTCTTTTCCTCATCATGTAATGTCTTTGATGTTATGCATTTCCACTACATAAGAAAATAAATAATGCTTTTGTAAATAATTTATAATGTTACATTTATATAGCGCTTTTAGGGGTCGGAGAACATGTATCCATGGTAGCCAAACAAGTCTCCACAGAAGACCTTAATGTTTCTGGAGGCACACAGCTGGTCCTCAAAAATAAAGAGAATAAAAGTGGAATATATGGCATACTAAGTTATAATTGAGATAAGTCGAAATTATTACATAAGGGCTAAAGGATGGCATGCTAAGTCAAGCCAAAATTATGACATATTAATTCGTAATTGAGATAAAAACGTGAAATTATTATGTCATAATTGTAAAAGTTACAACTGACTAAAAAAAATTATGCAACTTCGTCATAATTATGACATGACATCATTATGACTTAGTATCTCATCATTGTAACTTTTTTTTTATCATCAATACGAGTATGATGTTTTTTCTTGGAATGGAAATGGGCCTCCATAGATATAAATCACTTATTTGTGATTCTGAAAATCAACACCTGCACTAGCAATGCTTTTGTACTTGTTGCACAAAAGCTTCTAGTACGTGTTGTCTCAAATGATCTTTTCATGTATGTACAGGTCCTGACAATGAATAAATTTAGTGTATTGTTGGCTATCTCTTTACTAAACAACATGCGTTGTTTATTAGGAAAATTGCATGTTAAAAAAAGACCACACATAAACAAGAGAAGACAAAGACATACACACGCAACGTTTTCTGTGCACTTCTCAACGAAATATCAAGAGAAGCAGATGAAAGAGAATAGATGATGTTAACCCCCCTCCTGTGTCTGTTTCCCACCATCTCTCCCCCTCCTCCTGAACGCTCCCTAGCACTCCCAGAGGGACAGTTCAGACAGCTCCCAGAAAAAGAGAAGATGAAAGACTGACTGTCTGTGCTTTGAACAAGGTATGTATGCTGACTGCATCTTCCACAGCCAACAACAGAGTCCTGATTTATGGAAAATATGGCCTGGAACATATCATTTGCTTGGAAAAGAGCACACGCTTGGAAAAGACCAAACTCAAAGAGTCAGATAAAAGTCTGTGCCTAGATCTGACGCTGGCTGTTCATATATGGGTTCACGCTGAGGTTAAGGGGAAAATAAGGGAAAAAAGAAGATGTAACCATTCTAAACAAAAATGATCAATTGTGTATAGTGACATCTAGTGGACATGAAAGGCACAAAGGAAAACAATCTATCATTGATGAACCTCAATCACACCTGATCCTGATGGTGATAAAAAAGTGTATGTTTATATTTGAATTAATTATTATAATTGCCCATTACTATATTCATAAAGTCAAATGAAATGAAAAAAATTCTTCTTTTTTTCCCTTATGTATTTGTATGTACACCCTGACATGTATAGATGTATGTACTCTTGTATGTACGTTTTGTTCTTATTAAATTTCAATAAAAAATGTTTTCAAAACAATCACACCTGATCCATCTTAACATTACAGCAAGTCAAAAAGACAGTTCCTGTCCATTTCTTATGGGATTTTCGTTCAAAAAGGCTATATTGTAATATGTGCTGTAAAGTTGCATAACAAATTTGGTCCAATGCTGTTTTGCATGATTTTATTCTATTTTATTTACAATACTCTTTTGTCTCTTAAATATTTGTTTGATGACCAATAATAAAATAGTAGTTTAGAATATAATAAAAGATTGTCCATCTGTCTTTTGTGTGCTTTAGGTATGTCAGGTCTACAGATTCTGGCACTAACCGCATCAAACTGGAAGAAAAAGTCATCCGGCTTGCTCTCCACTGGATCGGTGTCTGCCTTCACTTCCACCATTGGGTTGAGGAACTGAGCTCTCTCCAGAGAGGCCCGAGCCTGGTTTTTTCCATCTGCATCCACAGGAATCAAGAACTGAGCACGTCTGGACTCCTCTGTCACCTGATTAATGGAAGTCATAGAAAATACCACTTAGTTAAGTAGCTGTTAAGGTGCTGTTATGAGCCTCAGTCACCATTCAATTTTATTGCATGTCTTTTCCATACAATAAACATGTATGACGACTCCTTGTCATTCTGCCTTACATCTCCTTTTCTGTTCCACAGTGGAAAAAAGTCAGATTTGGAAGAATATGAATAAGAAGGTGAGCGAATGATGACAGAATGACGTGAACGATCTCTTTAAGTCAGTCTAATTAATACCTGCTCATGGTCCAGGAGTGTCAGTCCTTTGACTCCAGCCAAAATAAGGTTCTTTGCTACTTCTGCTCCAAGTCCCCGGAGTCCAACAAGAAGTACACGTGATCCCCTAAGTCTGAAAATGCAACATTTATATAGACGTCATATATTATGTTACATTATATTGTTTGCTATTTATGCACAACTAGCTCAAAAATGAATTCGTGGGGTGGCCCTAATACCCTATTTTTGTTTCAGACAAAAAGCACGAATGTGAAAGATACACAAATAATGCGTATGAAATCATGTTTATGATTTCTGCTAGAGAATTATTCTTACACAGTCGAAAAAATCGCTTATAATAACATGAATACGTTTGTTCTTTGTCTACGTTATCCACAAACCTCTTTTGAGCATCCAGACCCCAGAGGCGAATCTGACGATCATACTGTGCAGCCTCCTCCTCGCTGATAATATTGTCTTCTTTTTCAATGGTATCAATCATTTCAAAATATTTCCGGTTTTAATAATAAGTTGTAAGAAATTAACAGAGAGGCTAGTTTGAATATTCTACGCTCTGTTTTTTCCACTGCCCATTCAATGGTACAGAAGTGCCGCTTAGAGATACTCGTAAAGGCGCACAATGATGACGTATGAGCTGGGCAAAAGCGCCAGATTCAGAGCACAACAATCAACAATGGACATGGATACACTCTAAACTTTAAAGCTTTTAAATACATCACACAATGTATTGAATATATGTTTGAATTATTATGAAGTCAAATTAAATGATTGTGCACTGTGTACATCCCTGACTTAAAAAAACATGTCCTCCATAGAAATAGGAAAGAATATGGTTTCCTCATTTTTGTTTTATCCAAATACCATTGTGTTATAAACTACTTACATATAAATAGAACATATAAAGTCTCTTTATAACATTGACTCATAAATCACATTATAAATTCAAAGAATAAAGTGTCTTTTTTATTTTTAAATATTCTCAAAGAATTATTCAAAGTCAATATGAAGATCATACTAACTTGATTTTCATTTTAAACTAAATTTAACAGTATAATCTACAAAATATAGTAATAGTCTAAACCTTATAGAGAGATAAAATATATGTTTATCGGAATATACATAACTGTTTATATCATTAAATGATTGTTTCCAGGAGCATGCTTAATATACATTCAATTAAATATTTGAGTCTATAAGAAACTGATATTTTAATCCAAGACAATATAGTTTAATGAAGGGTGGGATATATATATATATTTATGGACATAACTGTTGTGTACAATAATGCTCCCAGGGCAGGAACTTTTAAAAAGCAGGACATTGTAATAAAAAAAAATAGTTTTACACCAAGCCAATACTATTTCATGTTACAGAACATTCATCATAGCCTTTTTTTTCTGGACTATACATAATTTATTTTTCAGGAACAGTTGATCATGTCACAGAGTCAATAGGCATATCAGAATTACTGAGTGATTTTAAAGCAATGGTTCACAACCATGGGGTCAGGGCCCGAACCAAACTCACAAGGAGCCCCAGGCCAGAATGACTTGTTTAAATTATTGTTATTATTACTATAATTCATTTTAATAGTACAATTAATATAGGCTATTAAAAAAAATCTATCTTTATTAAAATTCAACAACAAAAAACGAAGCATGCAATCAAGAAACTGAAATATATGATAAAATATTTATTGTTATTATTGAATAATCTGGAGTCACAAAAAATATTGTGATACCAGATATATATTATGGTCAAAAATAATGTATTGTTTCTTAATGGCCCGATCAGTCATTTCCGTGACAGACGACGTCACGACTTACGTCACATAAGCCCGTCCCCTTCTCCTCGGAGAAGAAGCGTCGCCATTTTAAGTGAATGAGTTTCATTTCACATCGCAACTGTAGGACGGAGAACCTCAGGAACGTTTTCAACCTGTTTCTCTTTTAAACTGTTAGTGGGGAATTGACTACTATGAACTGAATCTCTTCCTAAAGCCAATCAACAAGTAGATCAAAGTCAAGTAACGCATAAGACAGTTGATTTTTTGCACTGAATGTAGTACGTTAGAGGAAATGGCTGTGGAAAGCATGACTGTCCATCCAAACTCCCCAACAGCCAACCACGAACACAACAGCCTTCTCACTGACGAAAGGTCGAGTAATATCATCATATTTCTATCCAACTATTGATTTGTCCTTTGCTTTTTTCCAAAAACAAAAGCACGGGCATTTGCTTTTTTTCTTTCAAAGGGATTAAAGTCGCCTTTTCTGGGAAACGTACAGAGGTAACGAAACGCCATCTTGAAACGTTAAACAGCGCAATCTGGAAGGTCACAAGCGAATCAGGAAAACATTCAGAATATGATCAAATTTACATTTTCCGTCACTTTTCGAAGCTTTTTAAGTGATCGAAGACCAAGCGGGCCACAACTACGCCAAAACATTGCTCCAGTAACTTAATGTTTTCATCACAGATAAATAACGGCGGACAAAAGAAAAAACACACACGAGTAAACAAGTTTTTGGTTATTAATATCCAATTAAAATCATAATGACGAACGCAAATTGTACGTAATGTGACGGATAAGTGGTAAAATTCATCCCTGGTAACGCATTAAGGAATTTGTATCTTTATCCATCGCGAGGCCCGGACAAAGCTAAAGCTAACAGTTAGCCGACGACTAGCTGCTACGTAAAATACAACAACAACACGGCTAACAGAAGCTAAAGAATAGCCACGGACTAGCATGGATTATGACTTGCTCGCTTGATTAACCATTCTTTCAATTAATTTAATTAGCCATCGAATACAATACGATTCAGTTTATCTTAATGTAATATCATTATTTAAGATAGGCGATTTACATTTGTCACCGTTTAGCACTTAGCCTGTGTGCTAAGTGTCACGAGCTACGCACTTAGATTTATTGATAACGTTATTTTTTATTTTAACGTTAAAAGTAACTATATAATCATTCCACTATATTTTCAAATATGACGTTCTTGTAGTGTAAGTAGTTAGTAAAGCTATTTTTAGTCACTTTTTTTTATTTATTCTTGTCTATTCTAAAATTTTTACTGTTTTAACATGATACATTTTAGTAACAGTGCGACATTTTGATAGGAACTAACAACGAAAATTATTTTCCCCCTTATTTTTTATGTTTTGGCTTCCTTAATTGGTTAAATACTGTCCCTTAAGTCTTCCACGTCAGATACATTGTTGACAGTAGAAATCATATTGTAACGTATCGTAAATAATCTGTTAAATGTTCCACAAAAGGTGCTCCTGTTTCAACATACTCTAGTTTTGTTGTAAACTAGTTAGCTTTATGTGCACATGCATCCCTTATGAACCAGTGATTTGTCCAATGTCTCAGAAGCATTCAAGGTCTTGCCAAAACATGAAGCAAAACACAAAGGTTCTTAACCATACCACAATTGTCTCCTAATGCAACCTATCACCATGAAAATCATTTATGCATAAATTTAATATTTCACAGTAAGTATTTTCAGTTCATTACCAGAAAAATGAAGGCCAGTATTTTGTAGTCACATTTGTTTGTCTTTGCATGATATTGTATCTTATAACTTGGATACTTACAGAGAACAAAGTTTGTTAGTAACTTTTCTTTAGTAAAATTAGAGGTACTTCTCAAGCTGTCTATCTGTCAAGATTTTCTTGCAACACTTTAAATGACTAAGAAATCCCTTCCTTGTTTACTTTGGCATCCTTTCTTTTGGCAGTTGTTTTCGCAAGTTGTGTTAGACAAGTAATTTTTACAAGTGTGGCCTGGTTTTTGTCTGGCCATATTCTTTTGCCACTTCAGTATGTTCAATAACAAGCATGCTCACTGAGACTCGCTAGAGCGGTTAGATAAATGCTGAAGCTTGTAGATGTTTATTCACAACATGATATAAATGCTTGTGGAGATTGTTTTGATAGAGACAGGGGGATTTGTAGTTATTGCAGTCATAATTCATCAATTGATTCCCTCTGTAATACTTTAAAGACATTACATGGTCAGAGGAGCAGATGACATAAGTTTAGCCAGATCTTGTACAGACAGTCCATTGAGAAAATAAGTTTGTCTCTTTATTGTAATTGTAAAAAAGCTTTGGAAGAATCCTGAAAAATATCCACATAGTTGGAGGATTTAAAGTTCCGTAGAATAAGTTTTGTCTTCTAATAAAGTTTATAGGAATGGTTGTATTAAGACCTTCATGCAGACTTCATACTGATTGTAAGATGATTGAGAGTATTAAATTGTCATCACTTACTGATGGTTGCAAGTAAAGCTTTTTTGTACATTATGCAGCTGGTTTAACTTCTGTGGTAATAATTGATCTTGTATCTTTTGAATCGTATCTCACACACAGCTTTGCATTGCAGTTCGTCTGGTATCACACATTCTCTTGTCAGAAGTTGGATTGCAGGGATCTGTTGTTTTTATAGGCCAAAGTTGAGGGGTTAGGTGATAATGTTTTGTCAATGCACAATTCAAAAGTGCAACATTGCTTCTATGTCTTATGTGGCAACTCCTTATCTTAGTTTTAAAGGGCAGTTCTGCTTGAATGTAATGAGTGTTTACCACCAGGTGTCCTGTATATACTTGTATGTTACATCTTCTATAAACAGAGCGGCTCTGTAATGATGTTCTCAGCATGTGACAAATAATCAGTCAACATTTGACACCACTAGTGTGATGCTTGAAGCTACTAAATTATGGTATTGCGTCTGTAGATTGGCAGTCCTGTTGCCCTTTAGCTCTACCCTCACTGCCTGAAAGTTTGAAGATAAAATCCTGTTTAGACATCCCGATTTGCTTAGTTATCTACACCGTAAAGACATGTGAATTGTTAATAGCCAGATCAGCAGAAGTCGCCGTGTCAGAAAGAATTAAGAATGAAGGCCCCACCTAAAAAACAATCAATAGAGTTGATGTTCTGTTCTGCACAGCTTTTGATGACAGTAGCCTTTGTGCAACTAACCAGTTATCAAAGACCAAGATTTCTCAAATGGCAGTGAGTCAAAAAACCAAATAATATCCTGTGTAGTCCTGTTCAGAGTTGTGATGTTCTTGCTGTGTTTTCCATGTCAAACAGGCAAGAAGATGGGGAACTGGAAGAAGGCGAGTTGGAGGATGATGGCGGAGAGGCAGAGGTGCCCAGCGGTGAGGGAGCTGATCCCCAGGATAAACCTCGCCGCAGCAAAGAACGCCATGTCAGTGAATCGGATGATGAAAAGTCACATCGGCGGAGGAGAAAGAGAAAGAGGGAAAGAGAGCGTGAAAAAGAGAAAAGGAGGGCCAAGAAAAAGCGTAAATCTAAGCACAAGGTAAGTGTTTGTGTTGATATTGAGAGAAGCACTGCATTTATTTGACCAAAATACAATAAAAACAGTAATATTGTGAAATCATATTACAATTTAAAATAACTTTTCTATTTTAATATATTTTAAAATATAATTTATTCCTGTGATGGCAAAGCTGAATTTTCAGCATCATTACTCCAGTCTTGTGTCACATGATCCTTCAGAAATCATTCTAAAATGCTGATTTATTGTTCAAGAAACATTTCTTATTATTATCAATGTTGAAAACAGTTGTGGCGTTTAATCAT